ATGCCCGGACACTGCCTTCAAAGGTGAACCCAAACAAAATCAAACGCACTTGGCTTTGATGTTCAGTCCAAGTTGATTCCTAGCACTCAGATGCTCGGGAAGAGCAGGTCCTGGCATTTCTTGCTCCTCTCGAGCTTCTCTGGCTGCTTCCTCCATACGCATATCATGCGTGACTTCCACCCATTCCTCACTATCATCATCTTCGCTGTTCTTCTGAAAATTTTCAGCTGAACAATAATTATTCGAAAACATTCTATGACCAAAAGGTAACGCTTTAAAATTAAAGAAAGACTTTAAAATTCAATAAGGCAAATATGCAAATCAAAGTGAAATGCAACGCACGTGCTTCTTCGCTTTTTTCTTCTTTTTGTCCTTCTTCTTCTCCTTTTTCTCCTTCTTCGATTTCTTTTCCTTCTTCTTCTTTTTCTTCTTCGCTTTTTCCGACTCACTCTCTTCTTCAGACTCAGAAAGCTCAGCTCCATCTAAAAAAAGCGCTCAATCAAACCCATGCTGTAAAAGTCTCGGCATACCTTTCAAGAGGCCAGCACGACGCTTCTTTTCCTCAACCTTCTTCACAGCATGCCTTTCAGCCCGCAATTTCTCGCCTTTTTCCGCTTCTTGTCGTCTGGATTCTTCGAGTTCGTGGTAGCTGGAAGTTAGATAATGTCATCGAAAGAATCACGCTATGGTACGCATAAAATGAACGCCTCTGTCTCACTAGCAGTTTCGCAGCCACGAGTTACTCTAATCCTCCGCGACCGCCTCGCTTGAGCTCTGCGCAGCGTTCTTGAGAGGAAGCAATTAGACGACACGTTCGCAAAGGCGGGGCAGAACTCAAGCGAGGAGCTCGCATGGGAATAAAGCCGCTCACGACGGCAACTGTCAATGAGACAGAAAATATTCCACTACCAGTAGCATAGCAGAATTCATATATGCGTATATTCCATACTGCTTTCGTATAAAAGTACCTTTCAAAAATTGAGACCAAGATGAGTCGCTATTTAAGGAAAGACAATTTTAAAACAGCAAAGAATGAGAAATACTTACGATGCGTAGACCTTTTCAATGTCAGTCTGGGTGGGTGATTGACCCCAAACCTCGAAAGCACCTTGTTCCATAACTTTTAGTCTGCGATCTCTACGTCTGAAAGGAAACAACTACACTCTTCCAAATTGTAAGATGAATCAAAAAGAATTGACAAGCAATCAAATAATTTAGCAAATCGAGTAATCAAAAAAATTACTTCTTTATAAAAGTATTCCTGGCTGCTGTTGGACTGCGTGAACGAGACC